CTGAGTGTTTGGCCGTTGGGGTTGAGAGTCTGTTTAAAGGGTTTGGAGTTTAGGGGCTTACGGCTTTGGGGGTTTGGGGCTTAAGGTTGAGCTTCGAGGGCAACCTGAGTAAGGCCTAAATCCCTGCAAGGTTGAACCGCAACCAAACAGTCTTCAAACAGGAAAACCTAAATCCCTCAAACTAAGATGCTAAACAGGAACGGAGTCTAGGGCTTTAAGTTGAGGGAAAATCCAGGTTACAGGGTTTAGGGTTCAGGGAAAGTTTGGGGTCTTCAGGGTACTACGCCCTTTTTGGAACCTGATAAAGGGGCAGCAGCATATCATGTGAGCAATGTGGTGTCGTGACGGAGCAGTTTAACATTTGGAGCCAAGTCAAGTGACAGCACAGGTTGAGCTCGAACGTTTCGGGATATGTCCGGTTCAGGTTGAGAGCTAACCCGACAACTGACTCCAGCGAAACCCGGAAAACATGAACTTATAAACCCCTTACGCCCTAAACCTCCGACCGCAAAAAGCCTATGACATAGGTCTATGAACTACTGCCGCCCAGACCCTGGCTCAGATTGCGGGGAAGCAGCGCTTGGCATGACACATCTGAGCCCCTGCAGATGTTCTGTTCTTCAGGCGCCCAAATTGCTCGTTAAGTAAACCGACCTTTCACACCGACAAACAATTTTCGCTGTATATATATATAAGTACATTAGTGGACTGCTTAAACAGTGTATCCAAAAACAATAGTTGTGACATCATTTTGACTATGTCGCAGGCTGGGACCACGACTTCCAAACCTGAAAGGCACCTCCAACATACTCAAGGTTACACGCTGCAACATGCAAGCCCGCAAGCAGCTCTTGAGCATCTCTTGCGCTCGCTTCACAAGCACGCCGAAAGACTTCGTTGTTGGAACAACCCAATTCTGACCGTTGCGCCATCATGACCTCTGGGGCCGTCCTCAAAACATGAACTGGCGAGTTGATGACAGTCATACCTAAAAAAACACACTGCGTACTATAGCGCGGCGTGTGTCTTGATAGCCCCAAACTGCCACCTTAAACCCTAAACCCTAGGTCCTGTGAGCCCTGGCGCCTAGAAACGCCCTAAGCCCCTAAAAACGTCTCCACAGGTGCTGTTCCGGCCTGTTCCACTGCGCTGGTTCCCAGGTACCTGTGCTCCTGCAGCTTGCGGGGGCACTCGGGCTTCGAGTTTGGGTTTAGGGTTTAGGGATGTTTAGGGCTTAGGGTTTAGGGTCTATAGGGTTTATCACCGGGTTTAGGGCTAAGGGCTTAAGTTTAGGGTTTAATTAGGGTGTAAGTTTAGGGTTTAGGGTTTAGGGTCTACCACCGGGTTAAGGGCTTAGGGGTTTGGAGATGTGGGAGTATCATTGTGCAACATGTACCAGGCATTCTTCAAGACACCCTGAACCCGAAACCGTTTGGGGGGTTAGTATTCAGGGTTTGGGCATAAGTACCTCAATTGGAGTTATAAGTTATATGTAAGTCATATGGTTGTATAACCCCTGTGACCAAGTCCCATGATCTTTTAAGTAAAAGGCATTCTAAGGGTTCTTCAGGGGGTTTTTGTAATGGCAGACTATTCGGGTTTATTTGAGAAGCCTGGTCACTAAGTCCCATGATCCTTTATGTCGGGATTGTAAGGCTCTAAGCTCAGCCTCTTCCAGTCTTGGGGGGTAGGGTTTAAGGTTGAGGGCTTGGAGTTTAGTGCTTGGGGTATAGGGCGTTCAGGGCTTGGGGTATAGGGGAAAGGGCTTTGGGTTTAGGATTTCGGGCTCAGGGTTTGGGGTTGAGGGTTTACCCACCACCCCAAAGGCCAGAGGCCCCACCCCCTAAAACGCGAAAGGAGAGAAGCAACACAGTAGTTCTCATCACGGCCCATTTTAGGGTCCTTTTCAGGGCTTTAGGGGTTTAGGGTTTAGGTTTTAGGGGTTTAGGGGTTTAGGGTTTAGGGGGTGCCGTACTATATTTGGGGACCCAGAAAGGGACTGGTTTGGAGAACTACCCACTGGTGATCCCGACCTCCTCCTCCCACGTCTCCCACAGCCGCGAGATTGGCAAATCCTGGCAACTTCACAGAGTGGCTGCTTGACCGTAACCCTAAACCCAGACCCTAAACCCCACCTCTAAACCCTCAAACCCCAAAACCCTATCTCCTAAGCACTAAAACCCTAAACATAAACCCTATAAACCCTAAACCCTACACCCTAAAAGCCCGAAAGCCCAAAAAAACTCTAGAAACCGACAGCCCCTCAAAGAGAGAGAGGGCCTTGGTCTTGTTTCGCCCCGGATCCAGGGCTGACCAGGAGGCCGGCAGCCGGTCTCCCTTCGCAGCCTCCGCGCTTTAAGCCGGGGTTTCGAGGGCTCCTTTAAGGGCTCCTTTAAAGGGGCCCTAGAAGGGAGTCGCAGCCTCCGCGCTTTTAGGAGTAAGGGTTTAGGGGTTTTAGGGTTTAGGGTTTAGGGTCTAGGGGTTTAGGGTTAGGGGGTTAGGGTTTAGGATTTAGGGTTCAGGGTTTAGGGTTCAGGGTAGCTAGGAGTTAGGATTAGGGGGACCCTTGGGGATCTAGACCCTCTCAATAAGGTCCTTTTACAGAGAGCCAGGAGTAGGGTAAAGAAGGGTCCCCCTTTAAGGGGTCTCCCTAATACTACCTAGGAGCCTTAGGCCAGTTGTTGAGTTCATAGGCACAAAAAGCTGCACACTTTCAGTGCTATGAGGGATCATCTTATCCCAAGAAGTTTAAAGTGTACTCATTCAGCTACTAAGTTAAGCCGGGCGTTAGGGTTTCGAGGGCTCCTTTAAGGGCTTCCTTAAAGGGGCCAAAGAAAGGATCTGTAGGGTTTATGCAATAAGCAGAGTTGGGCTCGAAAGTCGCAGACGACCAACCACAAGTAAACGGCTGGCGTCACTGAGCACTGCCTCCTGCAGCAGACAATCGTGAAAGAGCTCTGTCTCTTTTCCGTGGCAGCACAGGCTTCGCTAGAAGTCGAAGGGGCCCCTTTGGCTCGAGAGATCACACCACAGGGCACACACGGACATGGATCAATCACTCGGCTTCAGAAGTGGCTTTCGCACCGGTACAAAACCCTTTCTTGATCCATGACCCGGCACCTGCAGCTCTCATCTGAGCTACTGCACTCTGACCCTGACGATTGGCTTTCTTGGCCGACACGACAAAGTTAGGATCAAAGCGCAACATCCACACCCTAGTCTTGAGGAACTGTTCAAAGGCGCGTGTGCAGTCTTGACTCTTCTTAGTCAAAGCATCACTAATGTTCCACTCTCCAGACAGCCAAATAAGCTTACAGCCAGCTCGAGCAATACTTTGCTTCAGCTGATGTCCTTGAATAGCTGCTCTGGCATTTGACAGACCTAGATTCGCACCTTCTTCACGGGTGATGGCATCGTAACCGCCCTTGGAATCTGTGCCGACGATTCCCGGAATGTTGCTGACTAAATCATCGGCTTGCTGTAAGTAGTCCTTGCGGCGATCAATCTGAGCTCCATTTAGCTCTCCCCACAGGAATCTCGCGCGGTAGTTAGCATCCTCGCTTTCCACCATAGCTTGAACTTCAGCATCGGTTGTGCCGATAGCCACTCGTTGCAACTTCCAGCTTTTCCACGAAAGCATCACCAAGGGTCCTGGTTCACCTGCATCATGGTTGGGGCCGCCCAAGAAGGTAATAATGCCGCCTGTAGAACCACCACGAGCCCGATTGTTGTGGGCTTGGTCGCCAAGGGTTATCACCCTGACGTCTTGCCAGTGTTTCACACCTGGCAGCCTGCGGAATTGCAGGCGAGTGGGCTGCGCACGGACCTCGATATCAACTCCTGCATCTCCTTGGCCACCTTGATGGTGGGAGCACTCGCGAGGTCGGACACAAGCAAATTGCATCTTGCACAAAGCTGTGGCTGCGTCTGTACAGCCAGCCACTGAACACCTCCCAGCGCTCCACGACATTGGGAGATCTCCTGCTTCGTTAATTCGGACTCCTCTGATCGCGACTTGTCGCGAGCCAGGGCTAGGTCCTGCAACGTCTCCACGTAGGCGTCTTGATGTACTTCAAGATATCGCTCGCCATTGCTCGCCGTCTTCATCTCGAGGTCGGTGCCAGCATGACGATAGTTGTTCCTCTTTGCAGAACCCCACTTGTAGAGTCGATCAATTTGATCTCGGACATGACACCAAGTGGGACTTTCCAGGTCACCCGAACGATGAAAGTCGTCCACATGGCCACCCATAAAACCAATGGTGCGATGGGTGTCGTAGGCATTCTTCGGGTTCTTCACAGGCTCTGTCCAAATCCAAAGGCACGGATCTGATATCAGCCTTTGACCTCCAACGGACTCAAAGCTCTTGCCTAGATCTTGCCATAGGCCACGAGGTGCTGTAGTGGAGCCGTAGAAGTCCTTGAGAACCCTCATGATACCACCATCTTCAATATCCAAGGCTTCCCGGAGTTCAGGTACACCTGTAGTCCATATCTCCATCTCCTCCTTCTTGCCGGTTTGGAGAAACGCTGTAGACAAGTCCAAACCTTCCAACTCCCATCCATTTTGCATTGCCAACTGGTAGCTCATGCATCTTGTAAGAAGGCTTTGTACGGGAGCCGAAGAGCTGAAACCTGCCTTGAGGAGGTCTGGGTGCTGATAGCCAAGGAGAACAATCCTTGCCTTCGCTTTCTTCTTGCCGTCTTTCGTCGTGGTGGTTGTTGACACATTCTTTGCCTCTTGTAGAGCTTCTTCGCGTTCTTCATCTGGAATAGGTTTCCATGTCAACACCCACCTGCACTTCATGAGACGTCCAGAATCACGGCCATATCGTTCTTCCTCAAGGTCCTTGCACTTCCGCACAGCCTCCTGCTGAAGAAAGCTGGTCACCTCCTTGGTTTTGGCTCGGGTAAAGAGTGCTCGTTCTTCTGGTCGTAGCTTCTCCAGACGAACTTCTGAGTCCCGCATCTTTGCCACCAGGAACGCAGCATGTAGGAAACGTTTCTTCTCCCTGTTGGAGCTGAAGGAAAGGTCCACATCAATGTGAAAGATTTCCTCCTCAGTCTCATGCAACTGAGCAAAGAGGGCCTCCTCATTGTCAAGCGAGCTCTCTCTGTAGCGCTTTGCATCCGGTTCCTCCACGGGTTCTGAACGTTCTCGAGGTAGATCGTGTAAACCACGAGGTTCTGATGTTCCCGTTGTTTCTGTCAACTCTCCTGCTTGGGTGTTGTCGGCAGGAGCATGGTAGTCGTTGACGTTCTCTTCTGTCTCCACTGGTTTGGCATAGGGCTCCACTTTGGTTTGCTTTCCACGAAGACGACGTACTGGGGCCCAAGTCTCCTGTGAAGGTTCTTCTGGAAGATCAGGGTCAAGATCACCATCACATTCTCCCGGTGGTAGTTCTTCGGCCAGGTCTTCATACTCCCTGGCTGGTATAATGTCCCTCAAAGTCTGCCACTTGTGCGGTTCTTCTCCAGAGGTCGCATAGTGCCAGGCTCGTTCCATCTCGGTAGCTGGTCGCACAGAGTGAGGTGAACATCTGAACAACCTACCACCAAGGACCACCCAAACGATGTGTCTTGCTGCTTCGTCTCCGTCTTGATGAGGTAGAAGTTCATGTAGAACCACGCGACCAGGGCCAATCCACGATGGTCGCCCTGCCTTCTTGAAACCACCTCTCTTCCCTTTGTGAAGCTCCTGTGGAACCATCCGCCTCCAGACCTTCACCAGGTCAGCCACTTGAAAGGTTCGTAGTGGTTGTCGTGAAATAGAGTTCTTCAGTCGAGACAATACTCGACTGGCTCGGGTAGATCTTGCTGTCTCCTCCGCTTCCTGGCGTTTGGCCACCAGCTTGCTGAACTCGGCATTGGGGGAGTCGTCCCTGAGCTGAGCCAGGGTGACCTCATCCTCATCCGAAAAGGAGAAGTTCTTGCCATAGACCCACTGGTATGAGCTGTACCCACGAACGTACTCGGTCTGATTGAGAGCTCCAGTCGCCAGGAAAAGACATGTTTCCGGCTGCAAGGTCGGATCGCTCAACTGAAGCTTGCTCATCACTTCTTTCACATCTTGGATGCATGACTCGGCCAAACCATGGGCCCAAGATTCCTCGCTGATCGGGGGTGCCATCCAAATATTAACGGACGAGCAAAAGTCTTGAAAGGACTTCGCCACGAAGGAAGTTCCATTGTCCGGGATGAACACCTGGGGTTTCGGCTTATCGCTCAGCCATCTACGGGAGAACACCTCAATCAGCTGTGCCGCGGTTTCTTGGCGCATCTCCGAGATAGGCATCCTGGTCAATGGCTCTGCTACGCGAAAGTGTGTAGCTGCATCCACGAACAAGACAAACTTCAACTTGCACTTGTGAGGAATGCTGGTCCATTCTCCAACATCAGCCACCACCTGAGTCCAAGCTGTAGGTGCCGGTCTGGTAGAAATTGGAGGCACTTGCTTCGAAGAGGACCCTCCCGGCTTCAAGGACGTGCACTCCGGGCACTCATAGTCCAAGGCTTCTTGCACCTGCCATTTGGGTTTTCCAGCATCCTTAAGCATCCGCGCCAAGTTTCTGTTGGAAGGGTGTCCAGCAGCAACATGAAAATGCCGAATACGACGACGCCAAGCCTTGAGCTCCCTGTCTGTGGGCACTGCTGTTTCAGACAAGGTTGGAGCCTCAACTTGTGAAGGATCTTCTGGGGGCTCCGCATGAAACTCATCACCTTCCTCCACAGGCAACAGGTCCAAAGCTTCCACGGCATTGATCTGGTCTTCCTCATCCATCACATGCTCACTCTTCTCAAGGGTTTGCATGTCGTAGCTTTCTCGAAATGGAAAACCCAGCGAATCCAGAAGCTTCAGATCCGTTGGTTCCATTGCAGACACTGTCCGGGTCGTGTAGGCGGAAATCCCCACACGGCATCCATGCCACTCTTGTGTGGCGTGTAACTGCTTAGGGCTGAACATCACGAACTTGTTCTTTGTCTCGCATATGTGTCCCAAGCGAAAACTCCCATCTCTGAGCTTGCGACGGCATAACGGATGCCCCGTGTTCTTCTCCGGATATCCTTCCAGCCACAGTCCACCACCAACAAACTTTCCCACGCAATGCAGCACATTCGGCGTTCCTCCCAAATTGTGCTGATCTCTGTGAGGTACAGACAGACTGGTCCATGGGACGCCCGGTAGATGGTGCTGCAAATACATGTTGAGGTAGAGGACGGTTTGAGGGAGTTTGCTTGACCACTTGGAAACTCCCGAAAAGCCACCATGAGAATAGCCACCAAAGAGAACCGAAGAGGTAGTAGAGGACTTCCATCTTTGGTGAGAAGCAGTCTTCAGAACTCCTGCCCGTTGAAGCTCCAAGGCCACTTGTTCAAACGTATCAAACTTGAAGTCTTGTCGCTCACGTAGCTCTCTCGTCCAGGCCTCAAGGTCTCTCCACTTAGGTGGTGCTTCCGGTAGAAGAGCTGCCGCAAAGGTCATCTCAGAGGTGTTCACATCGAGCTTCCGGTGCAGCCTCTTGGATAGATCTGGAGGATATAAAAGATCATTCCAGCATCTGGTAAAGGCTTCCACCATTCGTATAGGATACTCCACGCGGGCATTCCTAGCGATGTGGTTCGCTGGTGCATGTTGATGTGGTTGTACACACACCTTGGTCTTAAAGAGGCTGTGGAACACCGGACAAGTAGTTTTCACCAACCATTTCTCCTGTAGAAACTGTCGTTCCGATCCAGCCGTAGGAAGTTCCATGCCGTAGCGACAACCATCCAACCTGCATCGTAGCCACTCCTTGCCCAAAGTCTTGATGCTTTCTTCGAACTGCCTCGCAGATCGATCCTTCCATCCAAGACTATCAGGTGGCCACTCCCAGTAGATGTGTGTCCCCGGAGAAACCTCCAAACACCACAGAAGGAACTTGGACATGCGGTACAACATCGTGCGCTCCTTGTGTTGACGATCGTTGCCTCGTTGGTGTCCTTCCCACGAACCATCATGTAAATTCGCCTCTGGACTCCAACAGAATCCACGTGGTGAAAACCAAAGAATCCTGGGCTGTTGTACACGAAACATCTCCTGGAGCTTGGGGTAGGTGGCCTGCTTGTACAAGTCATACTCATTGAAGTGCCCAATCCTCTGCGTAGGCAAACCCGCTTTCTCACACGCCGTAGCCAGAGGAGATTCCACTGTGCCACCAATTTCCCAAACGACCTTTTGACAGTCGCCAACCAGTAGATCACTCGCATCCTTCCGGTTCTTGGTCACCATGATGGACGCCATCGTAAGAAGAGCCTGGCAAACTCTCCACGGTGCCTCATGCTTCTGGCCTCTCATGGGGACTCGGCCGTGGGTTGGCCCACGGTGCTCCAGCTTGTTGTCGACGGGCTGCTTGTTGCCGCATGGGGTCTGGAGATCACCCCATCGTCCATTTCCACCGCGTTGGGGTTGCCCAACAACTCCGGGTCCGTCACCTCGGTTGCCCATGGTTGAACTTTGTCCACCGGAGTGTGGATCTCGTGCTCCGTCGCCCCCAACGACTTGGCCTTGTAGCCCTTGACACGTAGGAGCTGTTCGTACCTGTTCTTCGCGTACTCCACCTCGATGGCCACCTTCACCAGCTCGTGCGTGGGGAGCTGGTTTCCCAGATCCTCGTGCAAGGCCTTCATCGCCCTGCGGACTGTCACCTCGTTCTCGCACTTCGTGTCCGATCCGGGTGAACCCTGACGGGGGACATACCGCAACCGCAGGGCACACGTTGCGCACTCCGTCCACTGCCCGTGGCGATTGCTGCCCACTTTCACTTCTGCATGTCGCCCGTAGCACGGCCAAGTCGTCTTCATTGAACGAACATCTCTTGGATCGTGCTGAGTTGCCCGACTCTCGTCCAGAGGCGGGGCTGGCACGGTGTTCTTCTTGGGAGCCATTGTGCTGCGCGAAGGAGTTGTTGACGTGAGGCGAGGTCGGTGTAGATGCTACCATCCTCGAGCCAAAGTGCTTGGGATCATTCAACTGTTGTCTGCGATCAACGAGCTGCTGCATCAAAGCCCGCCGTTGGTGTTCACTTGCACGAGATGCACTGATTTCTGACGACATACCACACAACTCCAACGGGTACATGAGCTTCAAAGGGACATCCATTTCTGTACTAGGTAGCTCGGCCTCCCCCTGAGCACATGCAACATGTAGCTGACAGCTCCCTTCAGCACGGTTCTGGCCTGCCGTGAGGTAGTCGACGACATCCAGCACGAAGTGACCTTTGTCGTTTCGGCTCAAATACTGAGGTTTGTCCGAAAGGTTAGGGTCGTTCGCATTGACAAAGTAGCCATCGCTAAAGTCCACTATCATACCTGCACCAGACCTGCCAATGTGACTCATGCCCACAAGGATAGGAACTAGCATATCTTCGCTGAACCACTTCTCGAAGTACTCCGGGGGATTGGGCAACGCATACACCCCAAAGGCCTTCAAGCTCCCACTCACGTTCGACTTGATCACAACATGATATAAAGCCCTTCCCCATGACCCAGAGCCATACCTGAAATACGGGCGACGAGCTTGGTCAATAGAGACAATGGCGCTCTTGTCCTTCTCGAGAACCGCTGTGATGAGCCGCTGTACACTGGCTTCAGGACCTGCTGACGCCGTGGCTCCACAGTCAAGGAGGCCTGTTCCAGGCGGTAAAGTACTGCCTCGGGTCGGAGCATCATCGAGTTGGCCACTTTGTGTACCAAGCATCTCCAATCCATAAGCATTGACACCAGGAAAACTAAATCGAGACCCTTGTGGTCCCTTGCCCTTCGGGTAGCCCTTGAACATGCCGAAGTGGTTCTTGCCCTTGCCCTTGCCTTTGTTCTTACCCTTGATGAAGGCATAGGAATCCAAACCACCCTGGTACCACGACCAGTCGTCTTCAATCATGTAGCTGCCTTTGCCCGAACCAAGAGGACAATCTCGAGCAAAGTGACCTGAGCGTCCGCACTTGTAGCAAGAAGAACCCTTGCCCTTGCTCATCCCTTTTCGCACCGCACCAAAGCCACGATCTCGACGCATGTCGGCTGTTGCTTTCTGCGCCTTCTTCCACGTCAAGTTGGCTTCCGTGGCCAAGGCCTCTGCTGCTTTCTCTGCCTGCATGGCTTCGCGAATCTTCTCATCCTCAGCCTCCTCGTTGGTGAGCTCATGCTCCATCTCTTCCACGGGGTACAACTCGTCATCCCACCATCCGGAGTCTGAGAAAAGAGCGTCGTAGCCATGCCAGCCATCCTCGTGCTCGTGGTAGTAGTAGTCGGACGCCTCATCCTCACCTGGCCATCCATGTTCTGACGATCTACCCCAATCTCCGGCTTCCAAGCTGAACACTTGAGGACCATAGCCCGAGTTAGGGTGCGTAGCTTTCCGAACGCCAGCTAGTTGCTCGTCCCACATGATCTGCAAGGCCTGGCTCACACTCTCAAAGTCCAAACGGTTTCCTGTGGAACTCAACACATCACGGCGCTCTTCCTGCTAGCTTCCGCATATACGTCAAGACACCTTGCTCATCATCAAACTCCTGTTGTGGCCAGCTCATTGCCAACAGACGGGCCGCACCAGAAAGACGTCCTATCAACCTCGTGGCCAAATATCGTCGCTGATTGTGCTTTGTCCCTTGTACAAACCAGGCCACCTCTCTCTGGTAACGGCGCCATCCTTTAGGATGGCCATCCCACGTCGGAATGGCTCCAGCTGAACCACCAGAGTCTCCAGGTAGTGGCATCGTTGCCCTCGAGCTGCTGCCCACTGCAAGTAAGTATTCCAGACAAGGGTGTTCACCACGCCAGTGCCTCTTGGCGCTAGGGCGATGAAATCCAGTCCAGACAAGGCGGCTGCCGAGAAACGCTCAGACAGCAGCCGGTATGCAGGGAACACCAGAAAAGCTCTATAGGCAAAGTCACCACACCAGAAGTTGCCTGCACTGCCCAGGAACGTCCACCGACGCTCCGCTACCAGTGCAATAAGCAGAGTTGGGCTCGAAAGTCGCAGACGACCAACCACAAGTAAACAGCTGACGTCACTGAGCACTGCCTCCTGCAGCAGACAATCGTGAAAGAGCTCTGTCTCTTTTCCGTGGCAGCACAGGCTTCGCTAGAAGTCAAAGGGGCCCCTTTGGCTCGAGAGATCACACCACAGGGCACACACGGACATGGATCAATCACTCGGCTTCAGAAGTGGCTTTCGCAGTTTAGGGTCTAGGGCCGGGTTTAGGAAATTTTAGGGGTTAGGGGGGCGCAGGGTTTAAAGGCTTTAGGGCTTGTCGGTTTAGGGATTCAGGGTTTAGGGTTAGCTTAGAAATCTTAAGGTCTCTACAAGTCCAAGAGTAGTAGGCACTCTATTGCGGATTTGGGTGTTAAGCTTGCCGGGAGTTTCGGAGTTTATGGGTATTTGGGTTCGTGAGGCCAGCTGATGATCATGAGCTTAGGCCTGCAAGCTGTAGTAAGGTTCAGGAGTATATAGGAAGCAGTGCTTGCGGATCATATCTGTCTGTAGGTGTCCAAGCAGTTAGGAGTAGACTTGGCTGCTTTTGTCCATGCTCTTCTTCGGCTCTACCGTTTAGGGCTCATGGGGTTTGGGGTTTAGGGCTTTAGGGTTTCGGGATAGGCATTTATTCAGGCCCCTATAGTACACGCTTAACAATTCTGACGCCTGGGGTTCGAGATGCGAAGCCGGGGCTCGCCAAAAGCAGTCTCGGGTTCGCATCTTCAGCCAAGCCATCAAAACTCAATGCGGAACTCCCGTCTACTACTAAACCCTAAGCCCTTAACCCTGCACTGCCTCGTCTGCTGGGCCATAGAGAGCCCGGTTGGTGGCCTCCTGAAGAAGGGAAATTGAAATGCTTGGGCTTGGGGTGAAACGTCTGGGATCTAAGGGCTAGTGATATTTTGTTGTGTTGCGCGCCCTTTTCCAACTGGGGTCAGGCCTAGGGCCTCTAGGGCTTCAGGCTTAGAGTTCAGGGTTTACTCTCTGGTTCTTAGTAGGGAATGGGGGAATGGGTTATTGGGACTACTATAAGGGACCTTAAGGGACTATCATAGGGATCCATTCCTCCAATCCCGACTAAGAACCAGACAGTTTAGGGTTTATAGGGCTTGTTGAAGTGGTTGCCTTGCCGGCGTGTGGCTGCGCGGATTTTCGGACTTTGGCTTCGGTGATTAGAGCAGGGTTTGGGGATGTCTTGTACAATGATTGTAACAGGAACTCGAAGGAGCAGTTTTAGGGTTTAGGAGCAATAACAGTGGTCGCTCAGGCTTCTGTATTAGCTAGTGCATTTGGTACGGACTCACGGCACTTGCCACACCTGCAGGAAAGCATAAGGTAATAAATTCCTGGATGCTGAACACCAAACAGGAATGAATCACTGAATCAACATTTTCGCTCCAAGCGGATTTCGTGTTTCTTGCATAGTATCAAAAAACCCTTTACGTAATTTCCGTCGTGGGATCCTTTTACCCGAACTGCGTGGGACCCCCTGTGTTGTTTCTTTTGTGGGACTGCCGACTCTATGATGAGGATTCGTTGATGTGGAGACAAGGCAACCAAACCAAGGTCTAGGTCAGGGTCTAGAGAGACTTAAACTACTCAGCAAAAATAATCCTCATATTTAACTGATCATCTGAAGTACCAAATCCAAAGTCGGACTCGAAGCAAACTGCACAAAAACACCTAACCGCTGTTTCGGGTCTAAAGTAATCTTCAACTCCCAAACCTGAACCCTAAACCCTAAACCCTCCCGCAACACTGGACTCCCTTATACCTCTAAACTCCCCATACTGTCGACCTCGAGACGCTGTGCCAGGGCACTACTGGGTGGCGGCTCTCTCCTACCAGAACTCAGGGAAGTTTAGGGTTTAGGGGCTTAAGTGGCTTAAGGGTTTAGGGTTAGGGGTTTAGGGCTTCGGCTTTGGGGCTGTGGGGTTCAAGGTTTAGGGCTCAAGGCTTCACCTTGGTTTGGGGGATTATTGAGTTGGAGGGTGTGCAGATCCGCAGGTCGCCTTTGCTTCCATGAATAGCTTCCCTCGCCATAACCAGCTCCAACACTTAATTACGATGGTGACCAACCAAACCGTAAACCCTAAACCCTAAACCAACCTGTGACAGCTTCTTCTTCTCCTTTCATGTGACTTTCCGAGTGCTGGTCTTACGGCTTACTGAATGAAATTCTCGACTGGTAGCCTCCCCGCCGGCCCGAAGCCCTAGGTTTGGGTGAGTGCCTTTTCTTATATACCGAACCTACGGTTTAGGGTTTAGGTTTTTTTAATATAAGGTTTAGTGCCCGTTTTTTATATACAGAACCTACGGCTTAGGGCTTTTAGGGTTTAGGGTTTAAGGTTTTTTTAATACCGAACCTCCCCTGAACGGAAAGCTTCGACTCCCGAGACCATTCAGCCTCGCTCCAATGTCCAAAGCCACCGCCAGCCAAGCGGAAGCCCTTCCCAGAGAACCCAATACCCTCATTAAGGAACATGCCTTAAAATCACAATAGTAAGGCCCCTGTATTTTAAGGTAGATTCCTTAATTAAGGTGTATTGTGTTCTCTGGGTTAAAGACTTTGTGCCCTGGCAGGAGTCCCTTCCCAGAGAACCCAATACACCTTAATTCAAGAATAT